GCACTTATTGTAAGTCGCTTTGGATAAAAGCGTCAGCTAAATGACATGTAATGTAATGTTCCTGACATCAGCAAAGTATCAGTGTAAAAATCACCGATCGATTATTACACCAAGTGGTGGCGTCGATACTATAGTGTTTAGTTGGGAACTTTAGGTGTGTAATGAGCAAACCCTTTTTGCATTATGCGTTCTATCTTTCCTCCTTTTATCTTTGTTTTGTTCTCAATTGAGGGAAATATCTGTCAAAAAAATTGAGGGACATATTTGTCCAAAAAAGACTTTACGAGTCTGAAGTTAGTGTCAAAAGTCATGGTTGAGTTATTTTCAAGTACATGGAATTCGACAGTAACAAACTATATTATCTTTTGTCATTTCTAATAATTTGCATGTATCATGTCTGTAATCTGTGAAGATAAAATATCATTACAAATCTTACAATTCTTTCTGGCTGCGTTTACCTGTCACTTTCACATACACTTTCAACGCAGTTGTGTAGAGTATGGTTATGGTTGCCCGTGCACAATTTTTTACTTTTTATTCTATATTCCCCTAGCCCATAGTGATGTATTGTATAATGTAGAGTTAAATTGTAAATTTGTAAATTGAACATGCCACTTTTCTTTCACTATTGTATTTGTCTTGTTGTCCATTGTCTCATTATCTTAATGTCCAATGTTATGCAACAAAATATTTTGGCAATAAATGTTTTGGATCCCTGATTCGTGATGTAAGACCACGTTGCCTAAGTAGGTGAGAACGGTGAGACTCGGTGAAGCCAAACTAAAACAAATTAGCCTCATGGGGATAGAAATCCAGCAGCAGAGTTAGTTGTAAATCTTTTGGGGTTTTGTAACAAAGAGGGACCTCTTTCACATAACACAGTAAAATCATGCCATTGTTTATAAAAAGTCAGATTTATCGCAGTATCAAAAACCTTGTTTCCTTTAGAAATCCCCTAGCAACGTTGTTGAGCAGGAGAGACAAAGAACAAGATCACAGACTAGTAGGCAAAGGAGAAAAAGGTGAGAGAAAATAATTGAGAACAAGAACCCATTTCAGGCCTGAACACTGCATGCCTGGAATTCATGGTCTTCTGTAAGGCATATTCGATTAACTAACTGTCAAGGTAAAAGTAAAAACCCTTGCAATGTCACCCAACAGAAAGACATGAAGAAGAAAGAAAGAACTTGAAGCTTTTTTTGCTCGCACGAGTATGTCATCTTTTTTACAGCCAACATGAAACACCAATACAATATTTCTTTCCTCCTGATATACATAGATTGTTTTACATCCGTGAAGGTACTAAGAGGTATCAGGCACTTTGATGGCAAGAGAAATAACATTTTTTAATAATAAAATGTAATTTACACAATGATGAGGCAACGTGCAACAGCCTCTCCAAGGGCAAACACTGAGTCATCATTAAATCAGATAAGAAGTGCTTCAGAGTTTTTGCTTTGGTATCTCGGCACATTCTCTCACACAGCTGCAACACAATGTTGCAGAGGAGAAAAAATAACAACATGTATGATTTTCCGCATCGCATTCTTGAGGAAAATCTACCGAGCGCCAACGAGGCTCTGAATGGCTCTGGTGTAAGACACGAAACACGAAATGGATACGACAGTGGATTGAGACTGAAGATCAATAACCAGGTATCACAGAGCATCTTCTGACTACCATCAAAGTGTGGAAGTTTTTTGGGATTGAGAGTTCTGACTCTAATTTGCTGTCTCCTTCTATTTCTGTACATGTCCCAAATGTGCAATCATGTGTACCCGTCTTTCATGTCGGTGTTGTTATCTTTCTGCACTGTGGGTTCCGTCATTGATCACTATCTTTGATCCCTCGAAGCCTTGCATTGATAATTTGCACTCTGGAGGCTACTGATTCTTTTTACTTTCGTTTGCTTCTGTGCGGTTTGGTTACAGAGTGTGAAGGTTCCTACTATTGTTCAGAACTACGACAAATTGTTAAGGAAAGCTCCGTTACTCATTACAAAGAGGACCAAACAGCACACACCTCACTTTACTGATTAAGTAGATGTTCCCCAACAATGTCACACTTAGCAAAGTAATGGTGATATGTTTAACAGATTATAACTTTTTGGACCACAAAAAAACAAAACTGATTAGAATAATAGAAATGTTAGACAAAAAATCTTGTAGTACATGAAGAAAGGTTTTGTTCTCTCTGGCTGAAAGACGGCCAAAACTTTGAAGGGAATTTATTAGTTCATACACAAAAATCATTTGTCCCCTGGTAATTGTGAAAACTGTGAACGTCAAAGTGTTCACAATTACCAGGAGAGCTTGGTTCTATTACTTTTGTTGGAGTGACCTGTGTGTGTATGTGTATTTTCGTACCATATGCTGTATATAAAAAGTTGAGGTAGTCATTGACTGCTGCCATCTTGGTTTTTGTTCATTACCACCGTGTTATTTTGTAACCAGATATGACACGATATTGCGACGATAAGTCCATTTCAATGCTGAAAAATACATTGTTTAGGCAACCGAAATGTTAAAATAAAATGTCATTAAATGACAACACAGACACTCTTAAATCCTTTATTTAAGAGCTAACATGTCAAGTTAGAAATTGTCATTTCCTCATATACTTCTATGCAACCAGACACCTACAGGTCAAAAGAGAGAATGGCAGTGTTAGGCACTTTTTAAACCCAGATGTGGCCTTAATGTGTGCACCTGCTGTGCCAATGTTATCCATGACTGGAAATTGCTTTTGATCATGTGCAGCCAATGAGTGAATCATAGGAAGCAACTCCATTCCCGTAATACCAAACAGCATTAACATACCTTTTGACGTTCAACCCTTCAACGTTCAACACTTGGTTTAATGTTGTGAATTGAAACAAATTGAAAGTGCAACAGAAGGACTTAATTTAGTAATGTACTAAACCTTTACCGTTTGGCAAAGAGTAAATTGAAATACTGTAAACCTGACACCTTGTAGAGGTTTCTTTACAATTTTTATTGAAATTAGTTTAAAATGTGGAATAAAACTTGGCCAGTGTAACTGTAAAACCTGTTTATCACTGGGAATAGTATTCTCAGTATAAAACAACCCATATGAGATCCCTTCAGGTGACCTATGTCTAATAGTGCCTCATTGTGATCAAATAACAAAAATATGTCCACACTGATTTTATTAAGGCACTTCATTCTTGGTATTAAAAACAGCAGGGTGTGATGTGTGCCGTTTCAATTTCAGTTAATCAGGTCATTATCTTAGACTTTTTCCTCTCTCTGTCTTGCTGTCTTTGACGAACCCTGGTGAAGCAGTCACGTAGAGTAGAGCAGCCATTTTAGTGAATTCCTGCTACTCTTTGGTCAGGGCTTCAAAAGAAATGGACTCCTCATATTTCTGACCCTCTCCCTATCGTGTGGAGGTTATATACAGATGACCCATTTATTGGGTGCTTTCTATTACTGCTGAATAGTATTAACATAAGAATGGAGTGACTAACTCACCTTCAGCTCTGTGACGTCAAGCAACTCTTTCCTGCCTAATTCTGTATTGTGTATTTTTGAACCACCTGTCTTGTGATGTTACTATATTTAGCATTTCCACAATCACATCAGTACAGTAATGCCTCCCGTACGAGAAGCTAGGAGTTGCCATGTATACTTTGAATGATTTGGTAGAAAAAGAGCAACTGATTGAAGTGTAGTGGATATATTGCTCAATTATATCATTTGAATAACAAATCCCTGTTATACAAATGATACTCCTAAATTATGGCTTTAGGAGAAAGGATTTCCATTCGGGCCAATATTTCACTTTAACTATGAAAATGAATATTTCAGTATTTTTTCTAGAGAAACTGAGTGAGTTATGGAGAGAATGTTTAATAAGTCAATTTACAATTTAAATGAATAACAACCAGGCATATGAAGTCAACCGTTCGCTACTTGTTGTTGAAAATGATACTGCCGCATTAGTAGAACGCTTCAAGGTCAGAAGGGCAATGGGGGAGTACAACTTGACAAGTGAAGAGAAGCTATCATTTCCTTTAAAATGGATCTTGAACTCAGTCTTTTTGTCATTAGTTTTCTGAATAAAGCACCTTTTCTTCTACAGCCTTGTCTGCCAATTATTTTGATGTGATCATCGTAGTTTGAAGACATCCGTGAAGTTAAAAATTATTATTATATTTTCATGGATTTAAATACTACTGGAGATGAAGGTAGTTTTTGCTCATGACAGTTTTTTAAAAGTGCGCAAGTTGATTCTTTGTAACAGGCGATCAAGTTTGATGTTTGTTGAATGTTGAATGTTTTTCAGTTTTTAATCCGCACTACCATCCTACTCTCAAGCCTAGTTTATGCTTCTGCGTTTTCAGAGCGACGCAAGGACACGCAGACGCAAGAGCCTCTTGCGTGTCCCTTGCGCGCCTTTTCACACCTCCTTGCGTCCTTGCGTGCGTCGACCCATTTTTCTAGGCTTTTGACATTATTAAAACCAAGAATGTTTACAGACAGATTGAATAGCTTTTGTTGGAAGAAATGCTTAAATATGACCACTTATACAACCCGTCATTGGCGGACAATAAGGACGCGCGGATGGGCTTCAATTCATGGAGGGAGATCTCCGCAAACGTCGGTTTGCCGGTCGAGGGGAACAAAGTTGTGGAGGAAAATACGGGACAAATGTGTCCACAATAAAAAGCAGCAGTTAGTTTAGTTCAGGCAAATGTCACCCTTCCTCTATCTTTTTTTCACTCATGTATTGTATCAGCAGACATCCATAGCTCTGACATTCTGGGTTATCCGGTGCAAGTAGAACACTGTTCATTATATCCCACTGCAATTCTTACATGATATTACTGTTATCATAGTACTGTTTTTAAAGCCAATATAGTTCATTTTTTTCTCCAATATCCAAATTGATAACATCACAGAATTTCTAAAGCAAACATTTCAACAAAATAAACAGTTTTATTGATTAACATCACTCACCAAAGACTTTATACATACCTGGATCTGACTTGGAGAATGTATCCACATCCAGCAGACTCCTGTGGAAACAGTAAAAGTGCACGTAAGAACGGATCCTTTCAGCCCTTTTAAACAAATACCCAGGAAGCCAGCAGACTTTGCCGTATTGTGGCTAGCTCAGCTGTGTTACGGCTTCATGCAGCCAGATGTGAGCCAGCTTTGGCCCATTTCATTTTTGCCATATCTGGCCCAGATGTAGTTGTTACAGGCATGGACCTAATCTGGCTCAGACATGGCGACTGGGTTTAAAGCCAAACTGCACTAAAACAGGTTTTGGCCTGTTGGTGGCTGCCAGACCTCGGCCGAATCTGGCATTATAGCAACAGGCCCAAACTGATTGAGACATGGCAGCCGAGTTTATCGGCAACCAGCTCTGAAACCGGTTCAGGTCCGTTGATAGATGCCGAACCTGGGCCAAATCTGGCATTATAGAATCTAGCTTATTCCGGTTGAGATATGGCAGCCGGATTCATCAGCAACCACCAGATTTTTGTATTAGTGAGTACAGCGTGCACTGTTCTCCATTATATGGAAGCCCATTTCCGACACAAACCAAAAAAAAGGAGGGTTAGAAAGTCAAAATGATGACTTAACGTTGAAATGATGAGATAAAAAGTCCAAATTATGACTTCGTTGGTGACTACGGTCTACGGTCACACAGAGGTGTCGTTTGTGTTTAACAACGTCTCGCTGACCAGCTATTAAACCAGGAAGTCTGAATCTGTGAATATCCAACTTTACCGAACTGTAAACGTTCTACGGACACTTGCACCCACTCTCATAACAAACAGGCAGGACAGGGACGTCTGACTTTTAGCGGAGTCTAAATTATCTTCGGTATTTCCGAGTATGAAATATATCAGGAATTGGATGTGTGGCGGGAGTGTGTCACAAGAGACCGAAATGCGTGACTGTCACGCTCAATGCGTGACACTTGAGAACCCTGTATCATTCCTGTTAAAAGACGGACAGTCCGTCTGTCCAATCAGAAGGGTCCGTCCTCTGCTATAAGGCCCTACCCTTTCCGTAAGAAGTTAATGTTGTTTCCCTCGGCGCAGTGTCGAGAATGGTGGCGGCAGCTGCAAAAGTACCAACGCGAGTGGGAGGAATCACCGGGGGATGACAGTCGCCACACTTCGTCGGCTGTGTCGTCCACCGCCGGAGTAAAAGGTTGTATATATAATAAAAAATAATATAATATAATAAAACATATATGATATATTATAATATATCATGTATTATGTTATTTCATCTTATTTGGCATTTGTTTGTTCGTGGTTATAAAAACAATATGTACCCTTCTTTATGGCTTAATAGCGTTTATGGACATACAAATGTCAATGTGATCTTGACTGGCATTATTTTGTTGTTTTAAGTAAAAAAAGGGTGTTTTTGTGACATGAATATATTCAACCCGATTCTGAGGCGTCATTCACACGAGTCTTAACCTAGTCGGCAACCGGACCTGGGCCGAGAGTGCAACCGGACCCAAAACATTTTTCGATTATGGCCCAGTCGTACGACGGAATCGGGCCCGATTCATTCCGAGTCCTAGTTGAGTTGGCAACCGGACCCGAAACAAGTTGGTAACCGGCCCCAAGCCAAAGTGTTTCTTTTGTACGGCCGGATTCTGGGCCGTCATTTATCCATCCTTCAGTCTCAGACGAGTCGGCAAACTTGTTTTATCCGGCGTGCCGAGCTCAAGCCGGATCTGGGCCAGGTCATTTTGGCTACCTGGGCAGTTTTGATAAATAAGAAATTTCTTTAAAAGAAGAAATTTCACTTTCAGTTCACGTATCCTAAACTCTTTTTTTCATTTTATTTGTATTTAGCTTTTCTAAAAGTCTCAAGCGAGTGCCTTAGGTCACGGGCAAATTTGCCTTTTTCTGTGAGCAATTGTGTGGAACTGACATCTAAAAAAACTGTGCTGACATCCATTTTTCCTGAAAAACACACCACAGTGAGCCATATAATAAGATGTACAATGGGTCACGTCTGGTGAAGAGGAAGATGAAGAGGGTTTAGACCGGTTCAACAAAAAGAGCCAACTAAGAAATACTAAAAGATATCACTATGGAACCTTTTCATTTAATTCCATAAATTAAGACATTATTATATAATGATAGCTTTTTGTGAATGTAGGAGAAATCTACAGACTCGAATAGACAAAAGCAGGCAAATAAACACCTACATCTGTATTTTGAACGTTCTTTTTTCACTTGTCTGAAAGAAGACACGTTATGGCAAATAAAATGCTCAAAATTGATGATTCCATAAAAAAGTAACTAAGTAAGTAAGTAAGTAAAGTAAGTTGTCTTGCTGATCTCGCATAATAATTCAAAAGGATGGAAAAAAGCCATAAATTGATCAATAGAAGTTATTTAGACTTTTTTTTCATAACAGCGTAAGACGTCTGACATGTAGCCGTAATTTTTAAGGGCGAGGGCGCAATCGTTCATGTATTGGAAGCCCATTTCCTCTCCCAGGTTGGTGCCGTCTCCAACTCAGGAGGGACTCCACACGGCCAGCATGCTATTCATTATTCAGGAGGCAGCAGGTTGACAGTCTGTGCAAAGCCATGACGGAGTTGCTGCTGCTCCGGTCAGTTCAGCCAGCCGGGGAGCTCTCACCCGGGGGCAGCCTGCCACCGCAGGAGAGGAACGCCAGGTGTGATGTTTAGACACAGGAGAGATTAAATGTCTTTTGTTGTTATAAAAAAAATGGTATGAAAGCACGTTATGCTTAAATCTGTTACCTGATGCTCAGTAGCTATCAACAAAAAAGCACATTAATAGCTCAGTAGCTCATGGACCTTATGCAGAAATCACAAGGTTTCTAATAGCCTTGATGCATACGGTGGGATGAGCCTTTTACATGTACCTGAGAGCAAAGGGCATCAGGGACTAAGGCAGATATGTTTTGGATGGAGGCACATCATTTGTTTTCAGACGTTTTTGTCTTGATTCACGCAAATGCATTGGACAATTTCAATCTTAAATGACAAAACAATGTTATGTTAAAGGGTGCACTTCAGTTAAAAACAAATTCCCAATCGCCACATACATACATAATGAATCTATCTTCACTTTGATGCAGCTTTTGGAATTGGAATTACATTGGAATTACATATCTGACAGTTTTATTTATATTTGAAAGGGATTTATCCTTACCGGCAGGAGACTGTAACTTCTATTTTAGTTGCAGGGACTCTGGTGTTCAGCGGGTCGAATTCCCCTATCGTTGCCATCATCACGACTCCCCACTCTAATGAGCATCCGCAGAGCGAGAAGAAGAATAAGAAGATGATGATGATGTGATCATTCTCAATAGCATCGTGATTGCAGTAAATCCATTGTCAGAGATATCTTCTGGCAGATTTCAGCTCGTGAAGGAGCGGGGGAGGGAGAGCAGGAGAGGCACTGAAAGTTGGGAGGCAGATTTAAAGTCCATTCATCCTTCCTGCATCCGCGGAGCGATCCTCCGTGTCCAGCGCTGAAGAAGAGAAGGAGGAGGAGGAGGAGAAAAAAGAGAGCAGCCAACCGGAGGCACCAACATCTCTCCTCCCCCCCCCCCTCTCTCTCTCTCTCTCTCTCTCTCGTTCCCTCTCTCTCCCTCTCCCTCTACCTCTACCTCCATTTTTTCGCTCTCTCTTTGAAAATGAGATAACCAATGAAGGAGGATTGATAGTTGTGCAATGGCTTCTGCAACAGGAGTCCACAATACATCCTGCAATTGTAGTAAACAAATTACATCATAAAGCGTCATGTCGAGGAACTTTAAAGGTGAACATTCTAACTAGATTCTGTTTAAATCAGTAGATTACGCAAGGACTTCGGATGAAGACTTAGCCCAAAGGAATTACTCAAGTAGTTATTGCAATGTGACGTTAAAAACAGTGAAAGCATCCAGGCATTTATAAACGTAAAAGAGGACGGCTCACGTGTTCAAATGTCATATTGGAATGTATACATTCTAAAAAAAACATGAAATCAATATACTTCATCAATCATCAAATATTACCTTTAGTCAACAAAAGCAATTTTGCCAAAATACAGTAACAACATTATTCATAACTACCTCTCATCTAATGATGAAAGAGCCTGAAAGACGTTGAAATCACAGAGTAAAAAAAGTTGTCATGGTGATGTAACATGTGGCAGCAAAGTGCGCTACCATTCATTTATATATATATTTTTTATTTATGCAATTCAAGCAATACAAATTAAACAAACATACAAATAAATAAATAATAATATCACTGTGCAGGAAGAGGCAAACAAAAAAGAAATAGAAAAGTATTAACACAATTTGAAGCCCTCACAGATTCTCACACTCAACTAAATTTCACATAATTTTTAAGGTGCCGGGCTTAGGGTTTAGGGTTCAGGGCATTGGGTTTAGAGGAGAAATTGTAAGTGGGCCGTAGCGATGCTGTAGACTTAATTACATTACACGTAATTTAGCTGACGCTTTTATCCAAAGCGACTTACAATGAGTTAATTTCAACCATAAGGATACAAACCAACAACGTGCAATTTCATCAAATAAGCCAGACTTCTATAAAAATCAGACCTAAAAACCAATTCACGTGTAGGAACCCCAAACCGAACACACATCTCTCTTTCCCTCCCATCCCGTTCTTACACTCGAGCTGTATTCAATGCTCGAACGCAATCAGTTACATCATACACTGCATATATTCACTAGAGCAGTGAGGCTCGCACAGCAGTGGTCAATTAGCATGAAAGAAGTCGCAAAAGCTGTCATATGATAATGAGACGTCTGCGCTTCTAAATCAGGAAAGGGGCCTCTCTGTAATTTCCCATTAATCAGCTCTCCTTGAAGCATCATGACACACTCTTTTAAAGCCTCCTATGGTGAACAAATCACCAGAATTACATTTCTGAGCTAATGCAAAAAATAGAGCTGGTTTTTGAAATATTGTATCTTTGGAAAGAAATCGGGTTCAGACAAAAGGAAGGAAGAAGTGGGATGAAAAACAAAGAAAATGTTTAGAGAAAAGAATGAAGGCAATACGTCACCCATCAATCCATCTGTTGCTTCTGCAGTATATGCTGCTGTGATGTGCTGCTGCAATGGATAGTGGGTGTGACAGTTGTCCCTTGGTATTTTCACACAAAAATTATAAATGCTATTCTATGTATGTGTGTGTGTGTGTGTGTGTGTGTGTGTGTGTGTGTGTGTGTGTGTGTGTGTGTGTGTGTGTGTGTGTGTGTGTGTGTGTGTGTAGATCCACTTCATAATGACACAGAAATCTAAATTTTTCATTTGATTTGTGTGAGAGGATTTTGTGGGTGAGCCAGAAATCGAGATGATAGAGACAGAATAGGAGACAGACAAATTAAGAGGCAGAGAGAGACAAAAAAAGAGAGAATGAAAGAGAGAAAAAAATAGAAGGAATTCTAGTTATTTAAAAACGTTCCACTCTTTGCACAATCTATAAATATAGTGTTTGGACAAGAGAGCAGCGATAAGTGTGTGTGTGTGTGTGTGTGTGTGTGTGTGTGTGTGTGTGTGTGTGTGTGTGTGTGTGTGTGTGTGTGTGTGTGTATGTGAGAGCGAGAGAAGGGACAGCAAAGGATTCCAGAAGGAAGAAATCTTGTTTAGTTTCGGTTTCACAGGAGAAATAAAGCCTTTAGCAATAAAAGAGAGAAAAATAAAACATATGAAAAAGAAGAATTCCATATTTACTTTACACAGGTTGGTTTTTCTCTTCCTTTTTCCTGACTACATTGCTGTCTCGTGAGAAATAAAACCCTCTTGTGGAATAAGTCGTCAACTGACCAGGCCAACATATAAATGTCTCTTCTCTGCCTCTTCCAACCCTCTATTATAAGCCAGTCTCATTGTGCTAAGTGAGATGGTTCAAACAAACAGCTCTACCCACAAATAAGCACAAGCACATGCTGATGATAGCAGGGACTCAGTTTCAAAGAGTGGATGGAGGATGTAGAATATAAAAGGAATTGAAAGTTTTGATAAAGAAGTACAAATCTTGGAAATGCAGCAGTAGCCTTGGTGAGAGCCGTGTGGTACTCCGCTTAAGTGTTTTTTGACACTAGGTGAATGCTTTTTTAACACTAAGTGGGTAGGTGAATGAACTGACCTCTGCTTAATAGCCATTTATGATGTGCCTTAAACTTACACTCCTCCTTAATGACAACTGACTCCGTACAAAAAGAGAAGATACATATATATATATATATATATATAAATATATATAGAAGAACAATACTTGGAATGCTTAATGTATTCCAACAAATAGAGTTCATCCTTTGTCCCGGAGTATGGTTATATATATATATACATATATATATATATATATATATATTCAATTGAATATCATCAAAATTATTTATATTTCCAGGAATTGAACTACATACTCTAACAATAAATACATGTTGTTGTTTTGTTTCATGGAAAATAAAGACTCAATTGAATAATGAATTGAAAGAAAACGTAATGTAAATATGACTAAATTGGGTTTTAAATCCATTTCATTTAGGTGTGATGTTAATAGTATATTTTAATATTATTCTAAGAAAATAAATGTGGGTGCAAGGATTGTGGTTGTTTCAACTCTATTCCTTGCTGTTAACATCTTTGTGAATTCCTGTTATTATTCTGATAATATTGGGCAGTAAGATTGTTTTTGTATGTCCAGATACATTTTCAATGGGTATGATTGCTTAAAAGATTTGTGCCTTGTGTCACAGTGGCACTTCATGTTGGTGTTTTAAATAATTGTCACAGACTGGACATATGAGACATACTTGTTTTAATGCATATATAGAATAAAGATATGAAAGTCTGCCGGCTCTTTATTAAAGTTCTGGTAAGCACATTCTTGTTCACATTGTTGTTTTTGGAAAACACCTTCACCAACACCTATTTTACAAAAATTTTACACCAATCATTACCTAAACAACTATTTGAGATGGTACATCACTTGGCATTGGCCGGCAACTGGGATAAGATCATAATATAGCGCATATATACCTACTTAGGTTGTATGTTGGTCAGGGAATGGGGTTAGCCACAGCCAGCATTGGCATAAAATTGTGGGTCCAAATAGTGGGATTTTATTGTGTAGATATTGTCAACCCCTTATGTCAGGTTCAAACCAAACCCAAAGCAAATTTTTTATATACCAACCCTTTCAACTTGAGACTCTCCTTATGTCTGAAACCCTGACATTGGTAAATCAATGATAATCAATAATCCTCATATTTTGCCCAGTGACTCTACAAAAATATGACTAAAATATATGTGTCTAAACCGTAGGCTACAAACAATCACGGCGCAATATGATGGGACTTTGAATGCTGATTTGTCCGCTACAGTGTTAGCAAAGCCTAGTAGCAAACGATCCCATCTCCATAAATAAAAGCAACATTTGAAAACGTTGTTTACCTCTGGATATGCCTAAAAATCATGATTTCTGATTTTTTACAAATCAGTATCCTTATGCAGCTATTTAATCACAGCAAAATTGTTTATTTGTGGTTCATACATCTGTAGTAAACCTGCCAACATGTTATTCGAGTGAGTGCAGGATGATTTTTTAGCCACAACGAAGCAGAGATGGTGGTTATTTCAGCCGTGATTGATCAAACGTATTCTACAAGTTTTGAATAAACTCAAACAATTCCGTGATCAAACTCCCACAAGTAAATTGGACAAAGCATTAGACATTCTCTGTGTATTTCTTTTGTTAACCATAGTGGATTTGTGCACTGTCAAATGTGGAATTACAGCATGTTTCTTGCTCAGCATTTTGGGGGTTAAACCTATTGAGGAAGGATTTTCGTCCAATGTTTCTAGCGTTGCAGCAAGAGGCCATTTGCACATTTCCGCCTTAGATCCCGGTTTGAAATGCCCTTTGATCATGTGACAGCATATTTGATTCACGAGGCTTGTGTGTGCAAATGGCCCCAACTCGGCACGACCACTGTGGACGTGCAGGACGGTTCTCAGCTGGACTGGCATTCGGCACAAGACAACGGGAACAACAGTATTGCCACACTCTTAGTGTTTCCAGGTGTGACATGTCAACATTACACCAAAACACCACCAACACCAAAAGAAAGAAAGGTTTATTTGACTTATTGCTTAATGTAGTCCTCTCAGTATTTGTAGAGAAGTGGGACAGAATACGAGGAACAGAAAGCTCCAAAAAAGTGGTTGTAACTGTAGAAATTGTTTAAAAAGTCTGAACAGCAGCCGGAGCTTTGACTAGGACAGGTTTGATGAAATGCTTCCTCCCAGTGTTCAGTGCACAACACTGCAATGCAAATGTTTTGTATCAAATGTGGTTCAATCCCAGATATTGGCATTAAGAATGTTTTTCAGTGAGCATTTTCTCATCCGAGAGGAGTTTCAATGGACTTTTTCAATCAGTTCCAATGTTTTCATTGTTCCACGATATGCAACATCCAAGATCCATTTAATTATGAGACAAAAAAAATCAACAAGCAATTTCTCTATGTT